TCACGCTGACTCCCTCTTCGTGGGCTCCTCACGTTGATTGCTCTGCCAGATTGTTTCGTCATCGGTGGAGTAGTAGGAGTAATCGTCTCCACCGCCTCCGCAAATACGACGGGTAATCTCCATGCCACTTGCACCAAGATAGGCCAGGAAGCAAACCATAAAGAGAAAAAGCCTGAGACTGCGCCATTGCTCCTTGTACTCTGTACTCCATAGTCCAGCTCCGCTGATATCTCTCCTCAACCTTGGCAAAGGGCGCCTCCTCGGGAGCGGGGTCCGCAGACTATTATGAAGCGGCCTCCCCCCGGGGGAGCGGGATCGTGACTTAAATCGGATCCCTCGCTGCCAAGTTGGCGCGTCCGACAAACTCCACACTTCTCCCAAGCCTCGATATCCATCGGAACCCGAGGCCTGATCCACAACATCAGCTACCTCTTCATTTCCAGGCAGCTCCTCATGCTCTTTGCTTTCTTCATGTTCCTCATTTTCCACGAGGACTTCTTCCATCTCATCCATCTCTTCTTTCACTTCCTCTTCACCAGTACCATAAACATCTGGGGGCTGAAGAAAACCCCAAGGCTCCAAGCCTAGTCTCCGACATTTGGCAGCAAGTATCTCATCTCGATCAATCTGCTCATGTAGCACACAGTATCCATATTGCCAAATCATCCTGTAGTCGTGCGGACCGCGGGCCCAATAAACATTGTACAGAAGTTCCGGTGGAATGTCCTGGCCCACCAAATAGACCCCATTGGTTGATTTGTACAAGGGCATCTCTGCATCAAGCAATTGCTGAACATTCACTGCAACCACCAGATCACAACCCGGCCTCATACCTGATTGGCCATGGTTCACAAAATATGTAGTGCTGAAATGCACGTGTTGCCTGTGACCACACCGCAGCCCTTGACGCCTGATGGACCCCCACGCCGCCAAATAAGTGCCATGAAATAAAGTGGGCTGATCCACCTCATCCGGCGTTGTAATCTGGCGATGCATCTCATTGCTGAGGTCCAACTCCTTGTTGTGGCCTTGGGTTGCGCGAATAAGCCACCCATCTTCTCCTTGATGTACCTCAAATCTGCCCTTCTCATCCCGATTGACCGCCAATAGCACGCTGTCGATCGAGGCATGTGGCTTTCTGGCCAAAATATCCTCCACCTTCACGTATCCCTCACTGTCCATTTCAATACCCTCCTTCACTGCTCCATGCCGAAGAACGAAAGAAAGGTATCTGCTGATATCATACGTAACTCCAGGAATGTCATCAAACTGTGAGTTGCTCCTCCCTTTCTTGTGACCTTTGCCACCTCCACAAAGATCTCCACAAGGATTCGTGCCTCCGCCATCTTCCATATCTCCAAGCTCGAAACGAGGGACACACAAGTCAAGAGGCGATCTCTTGTAGGCTTCCCATGAAACCTCGCGATTTTCAAGCCAAAAGCTGTTTACCCGGATGGCCTCAAAGTGGTCGCTCCAGAGCCTGAGCACCAATGGCTTGATCTCCTGATCCTGGGTTGTGGGCAAAAACCTCACCACTTGTCCGAAGTGATTGAAGTTGCACTTACCACTCACGTTGACCACCCAAATTTCTTGGCGAAGAAAATTGGCAGTAGCCTGAATAGCCTCTTCATCAGCCCATTTACCACTTGCTTTGTGCTTCTCCTTGGTTACCTGATTGGCCTCCATGAGCACTTGCCTTTTGGTCCTCCTCCAGCTCCTGGCATGCCCAAAACGAAGTTGGCTCACAGCGTACCAAAAACAGTTGCCGCGCCCAGCATTGTTCAAGGTTCTCCCTTTCACTGAGCCATACGTCGCCAAAGGGCCTTCCAAATCACGTCCAAACTTGTCCAGGTCAATGTCCAACCCGCCAAGCTGCTCATCTTCTATACCTCTTATACTGCAAACTCGGCCAAGAAGCTCCCAGAGACGGAATACCACCTGAATCCATCCCCAAAAGAATAAGGCCACGCCCATCCAGCCAAGCAGAGTCTCACGCCTCCAAGGCAGCTTCCATGGCCGAGGCCCACCGAGGGGCCAGGACTCACATTCAATCTGGTTGAGCCATATGAAGGAAACAGCGGTTCTGCATGTCCCAGATAAATGATCACTGCATATCCGGGGGGCTCGTTGCAAGGAACATTTCCATGAATAAACCAATCCAGGGCGATGGTACATAACCCCCATAACATCACACAAATAGGGAGCCGAAAGGGTATCCAAGGGGTCAGCCGACATCTCCCTTGCACCCAAATACGACACCCGGCCTGCACCTCATCCAATTCACGAAAAATAATCACAAATAGATAGTCCAATACTGCAGCTCCTCCACGAAGAAATCGGCATATGGACAAATAGAGAATACCAATGGCACCAATGACGAGGTACTCGAAGACCGCATCAATAGGTCGCTCTCGAAGAAGAATACATACCAATACCCAGCAATAATCATAGATGCCAAATAGCACCAATTCATCTCTGCAGCCCTTATTGATCCTCACTCTGCTCCAAATGAGGGAGATCCAATAAGCTGCTTTACCAGGAGAGATACAAATACCATTCCAAACCACCAAGAACATCTTTGAAAACAGACCAACAAAAGAATAGTCACCGCCAACTCGGGATTCCTCCTGAACCCCCCCATCTAGATATGGAAAACATGAGAAAGTTGACCAGAAAGGCCAACATCAACCCCCGTCCCCAAGTCTGTAACTGTCCGGGTGATGGGGCCATGACCAAGGAGGGGTCAGGTCCTACCGAACAGCTAACAGCTGTCACCGCGGGAAGGCTTGAGGCTGAAACAGCTGTTTTGATTGTGGCTCAGTTGGAATTGGAGTTTAGTCAACCAATCACGTAGGGCGTCGTCAAGGCAACTGGGTGCAAGAAATTGTTCATCAGAAGTAAAGGGTGCCATCGCAGCCTATAGAGATTAGAGTGCAGTTGAGAAGCATGAAGCACTGTTAAGGGTCAGGGTCTTCCCCTGCCTTCCCTTGCTGTGGCTTGGAATCAGTATTGGACCCTGAACCAAATAACACTTGAACAAGCAAACCTGGCGAATCTCAGATATTCCACTTTTGGACTGCTCTTTCGAACGCTGCCCGCAAAGCTGTTGCCCCTCATGTACTCCGCTTATGTGTATATATATATATGTAGATATGTATATACATATATATTAATATATACGCACACACTACACTCACACTCCATATCTATTGGCATATGCAGCTGCTAAAGTCTGACTTGTGGTTTAGGTGGCTAGGTCCTCCAGTAGAGAGGTTAGAATAAGGGTACCAACTGTTTTCTAGACGTCTATTTTACTAGGCAGCCCTCCCAAGCAAAAAAAAGGAAAACGGGCAGTACTGGGGGACCTAGGTGGAAACTACCAACCTAAGGGGATTGCTGGCAACAGTGTATGTCTTTCAGTTGCCCTGTTGGGACCCAGAAATAAAAAGGTGATCACATTTTGGGGCCAATACTAAAATTGACACAAACAAGGGAAAACAAAAAGGTCAAAAGGCCCATCCATTCGCCTTGGGCAAGTGAGTGTACTAACAGCATACTCATGCAATCATAACTGAAGTTTGAATCAAGGTATCCCACCCCAAAGATTAAAGTTTGAAGGTGTTCCACAACCCTCCCTTCGCTTAAGTCCCTTTCTGACCAACAGGGGAGTATCAACCAAATACTCATTTGGCTGTAGGTCAAAACCAGTGGTACCATTTTGGGGTAGGTGCGCCACCCTTTTTAGTCTATAGTGGGGATTGGGATGTTCACTGGGGGTACGGGCCCGAATACTCATTTCAGCAAATGGAAGCAACTCCCGTTCGCATTTCAGACTTTGCACTTGACTAGCTGCCTTTTTTCTCAGCTCGCGCATGCCTCGTCGATGCATGCCAAGGCAATGGGCGGCAAGCCGCAGCCATCGAAGGACCACATGGCCAGCCTGCGAAGCTGAGCGGTGCCCAAGCTCCCTGGACAAAATAAACAGATATTTCCAGTGATAGATGCGTAAAACATATTCTTAAGCAAGAGGGTTGTTGTATTGCACCCTGGGATTACAGCCTCGGCAAACGGGCCAAAATGGTCCAAAAATGGTCCAAACTCACATAAGTTTATCCCGGAAATATGCTCCCCGAAGCACTGCATTGATCAGCTCCCCTGTAACTGGAGCTGTGCAACCCACTTATCTAGGGGTTGATTCCGGTTCCATTCTTTTCAACCATCGTTCTCTTCAAAAACCAGATCTGTTTCCCCTGGTTTTTGATGGTTTCCTGAAAGAAGGATCCCTGGAAAGAATGGGGAAGGCACCCCTAAGTTTTAGGGGGTTCTAACCGTGGTTACTCGGATAACTGGGTTTGGCTACAAATTGGTCAACCAACTTAGTAGGTAGGTTGTATAACCATGGTTATAAGTGGTTGCTAACCGGGTTGGTTTCCATATAACCATGGTTAGAAAAGGCCCCCACAAGCCCAAAGCTTGGGGAGTTACCAACAAAATGGTCTTTCCAAGTGACTAAAGCCCAACAAAGACTTGGGGAGCGAGACCATGGCTTATGACCAAAAAGTGGCTTATGACCGCTGCCAACTGTTGGTGCAGCTACCGCCAAAACGGTCTCCCAAAAAGGGCGTGCCTCTTTGGAGGGTATCCATTCTTGTGACGTTCAAGGGAAACCAAATGGAAAACAGGAGCCATTTTGGGGGTACCCGTAAAATGACACACCGAAAAAGGTCGAAAGTTCACCAACAGGGGGAGGTTCTTTCCATCCTTTTGCAATGACCTCTGAAAACAATCGGCACCACTCGCCTCTCAGGAGACACGAAGAGCACATCCACCATGCCTCGGATGCAATCTACGATAGCCATGCACATTCGGGTACCTGGACTCTCAAACTACCTATAAAGAGGGATTTCCCCATCATTGTGGGGAAGTATCCCGTTTTTGAGGGTAGTCCAGGCATGTCTTTGAGGGTCCCCAACATGAAAACCACTTGTTTGGGGTCCCACCCCCATTCATAGGATTCAAACCCTTCACCTCAGCCCCTGCCCTACCTAACCCGGGCTGGACAGACAGCCCTGCTAAAAGCAAGACGTGTAGCTTTTGTTTAATGGAAACCACCACCACGAAACACTCAGATCTAAAAAGCTTTTTTTTGAACCGGATGGCTGGGAGCCACCTAAAAAAAAGGGGCGGGCGCTAAACAGTTGGAAATCTGGGGAAACCCGCACTAAACGCTAAACACTGAAAAGCTTGCGGGACGGCTGGGAACCGCCAAGTAAAATCACCTTGCTCCTAACTGGTGCTTTGTCTTGGTGGTTTAGACACTAACCGCCCAGGAATAGAACAAGTGCGCTCTGGCCTGTTTCAAGTTTCCAAGCCTGGAGCCTCCTTTTCAATTGAGTGCCCAAAACCCGGTGACTTTTGGTTGTAGCAAAATGGTTCTAAAGCACCTTTCCCCTAATTGTGGTTTCTATTTACGGGGTGCCTAACTTGGCTTCAAACGGTACATTCAAACCTCCAAACCAATCCAAACCCTCAGACGCCCAATCCAAACCCTTGCATCAAAGACTTCCACCATTGACCGGGTCCCAAACCAAACCGCAAAGAAGGAATATGACATGCCAGGGAAAGGCCTAATGTAGTGCTCATTTACCCCCTATTTACTCTGATTTGTTGCTTATTCTTAAGAGGTGTGTTCCAGGGGTCTGGTGGTACAACCTTTGCATGTTTGGCCAAGTTAAAGGCTATACCCATGGCTATGATGGGACTGACCCCAGTTGCCTCACCTATAACCATGGTTAATAACCTGCTTGCTCAATTGGTTGAACATCCAAGTTGCAGGATATTCTTGAAAAATATGGCTCCCCAGGGTTAATACCGATCCCTTCTTTAGTAAAGGGTCAGCATCATATTTTTGCCTCCAGCCCGCTCCCTCGCTGATCGCGTCACTTACGTCGGGCCACGTGCGCGCACGGCGCGCATCACCTCTCGCACCTGGTCGCGGGACTGCTGGCCGCTGCAGACTGCACCCCGCCTCAGACCGCGAACCTGTTGACCTTTTAGTGTCCCCTTTTTGGTTCTCATGGGTATATGTGAACACAGGATTCAACCTTTATGTTTTGTTTTTGTTGAAACATTTGAGGGGAAGAGCTCACAAGCCCAAAGCCAGTGTCCCCTTTTTGGTCCATTTTCAGTCTGCCAGGGCGCCAAAAGGTTAAGCTTTGATTTGTTTTAGTCCTTTGGGCAGAGAAAGGGCTCCCTCAAAAAGACAAACATAAAGCACACGCACACCACTCAAAATGGTGGTTGTCCATTTAACACAACCCAACCCCAGTGCTTCCAGCTACCACTATAGCAGGTATCCAGGGAAACCATCCATGGTAAAACCTAGAGGCAGAAATGCCTAAAGCTTACCTACTATAGTGGCTTGCCTGGCAGCACCGGGCTTGTGTCTTCTTCAGGTACCCCTTTTTGGTCGTTTTCTTCTTTCTTTTTTAGGGACACCAAAAGGAAAGACGAAGCCATCCGATGGGAACTAAGCAGAGAGTTCCACGAGCGACCCTCGAGTTCTTCCCCTCGGATTTAAAACAAAAACGTCACAAAGGTTCAAAGCTGTTTTGGCACTTATACCCAATGCTCTGACTCTGCACAACATGGGCGTCTTAAAATAGGAGACTCCCGCACCGTTGTGTGTGTGGTCCTTCTTTCACATTAAAACAACCAAACAAAAGTTCGCTTCAAAAAACACCAGACCCATATAGCGGAATGTGTCCCAACAATTCTAGATGTCCCATCGGAAGCCGACTGTTTTGCTCCAAGAATGGATTGCATAAGGGGTCTATCGGGGAGACGGGGAAATCTGCCCTGGAGAGAGGAGGTCGCTCAGAGCAACCTGAGTTAATAGGCTAACTCACTGCTTCCAGTTGCCGCTAGGCAAGGCAACCTTCCTGCAAAACCGGCTCAGAATTGGCGAGCCTAGTGTCCAAACCTTGAAATGTCTGCTCTGAACGGGTAAAACAAATGTACCCTCCGGTGAATCTGAAAACTGGGGTCTCCTCCAAACATACTCCATATGTTGATGAGCCAAATCGGAAGATAGATGCTGGCGTTGTGCCCCAGATTTGCGCCCGAAGAACAATGTGGTCCCACAGATTGGACAGAATACCAGAAATGGCGGCCCTCTCTCTACCAGGGGGTTGCTCTCTATGAATAATCACAGCAATTTTAGCACCAACCCTAAACCAACCCCCAAGCAAGTCTAAGTCCTTACAAACCCACCTGTTCCCCGTACAGAAATAGCGTCCCCGTGAAGAGGGACACAAGGGACTCAAATGAGAAAATCCCGCCAAAAATGTACACGTTTGCGGTGTCAGCTTCCCGAAAAACATGATGGTGTGGTGCGGTGTGCTTCCCAGCCTCTACGAGAACCCGGGGTTCAAATACCCAACCCCCAATCCTGACTGCTTAGTGGGATAATAACATCACTTCCCAGAAAGTTAAACTCACTGCCCAGAAACAAAAGGTTAACCTTTTGGGGCCATGACTAAAAATGGACCAAAACTGCAAAACCAGAAGGTTATAGGGTCGATTCGCTTTGGCAACTGAGTAAAGTCTAAAGTTCCAACCACTTGGCAACCAAGCGGTCATGTTCAGAAAATGCACCGAGCTCGGAAGGGAGGCACCGAGTCCACTCGGGCAGGACTGCTCGTCCATTGTGGGGAAACCTACATGGGTGTTTGGCCAAGTTAGTAAGTCCACTTGGGGTATAACCCCCTTATATACAAGGCCACCACTTAGGGGGACTTGTTTTGTTGGGTTGTAACCAGTGCTTCCAGTTGCCGCTGTAGTAGCTAACCAGCGGAAAGCATCCATGGTAATTAAAACCTGGAAGTCAAAATACCGAAGGGTTAGCTTCTATGGTGGCAAGCGCCTGGAAAAACTGGGCTAGGTTCCCGGTACACCTTACTGACTTGGCAACGAGCACCCTTTAGGTAGCGAGTCCATGTCCCTCGCGAACGGAAAAACAACAGCCAAACAAACAAACAAACAAACAAACAAACAAACAAACCAACCAACAAACAAACAAACAAACAAACAAACAAACAAACAAACAAACAAACACACAAACAAACAAACAAACAAACAAACAATCACACAATCACACAATCACACAAACAAAACCACTATTTCCACCGAAGCGCAAGCATAGGATGGCCTTGAACAGGGGTGTAGGGGGACATTGGTGTCGTGTTTAAGGTTGGTACCCGTTTTGGGGTTGGTTTAAAGGCAAACCAATCGGACACCTTTCATTTTGAAGGTCCCCCCCTCTTTTGACACACACCCAAATTCCAGCGGGAGCCTCCTTCTGATTATGCTAAAATGAGGCCATTGCCCGCAAGACAGGGAGCATTGCCACACTAGGTTCTCCAGTAGAGAGGTTAGAATAAGGGTACCCTTTTTTCTGTAGTCTATTTTAGTAGGGGAACCCTCCCAACCAAAAAAGGGGTGAGAAAGGGGGGACCTAGCCACAAAAACACAGGCCGGGTATGCGGAGCTTTGGGGGGCTTTGGCTTTGCAAGCGGCCCGCGGCAAAAAACAAACAACAAGAATAAATCGCCCCAGGTGCAAGCACTTCGGCAGCCGCGCCAACTGATCCGACATCAAAGACACCAGGGGCGACACCACCAGCGTCAAACCCTCCTCTCTGAGCCTCAGCGAATTCGCAGTCCTGGAGGTCTCCCCCCGCCAAAACCCCTTTGTGAAGCCACTCAGATCCACTTACCTGTTGAGAAAGCCAGGCCAAACACAGACCCTAATATAGGCAACACTGGTCAATGTAGCTTGAAAGGAAAGCAAAGGGAACCCGTCATGTTGGTGTGCCCCCACCACTCCCCCTTTTGACACACACCCAAATGGGTCTGTGTGCTTACCTTAAATTTCCCTTGAATCCTACCTCGAACGGGGGGTTACTACATATGTGCTTGTCTTCTTTCAAGAGACCCCCGAAATGGTGGTATGTACGGAGCTAAGGAGCCAAATCGGCTTGCACCTTTTTCTTAATAGGGAGACCCATCCCAGTACAGCCTACCCCCCTCCTGGCACCATCCGAAAGCCGGGAGCCGAGGCGCAGGTAGGCGGGCAGCTGGTAGCAGAGACTCTTGCCGCTGCCAGTGGCCAGCAGCAAGAGAGTCTTCCTGAATCCGAGATGATTTCCACTCCAAGGCTTCTTTGGGAGAGGTGGGTACACAAGTTCTGAAACAAATAGGTTGTCTCAAAAAACCACCCCGCTTTGGATTGTGTTTAAAGGGAAGCAACCGGGAAATCAACCGTTTTTTGTTTCCCCGTGTCTTTGTTCACCCATGATTCAATTGGCCTAAGAAAAGTCAAGGAACCTCAACTCCTGAGTGAGTTGGCCTAAGAAAAGAGTCCAGGAACTTCCACTCATGACCCCAGCAAGGTTCCACTTTTTGCCAATTTCCAGATAGACTTAAACCTAGATGTTCTCCTTTTGGGGGGAAACGACCCCTGGGTTGAAGTCTACCCTGGGAGAGTCCACCTTTGTCCACCTTTGTTGACCCATGATTAATAATCACCGGTGCGAACCTCAGTTCCGGAGTGAATTGACAAGAAAAGTCCAGGAACTTCCTGATTTAGCAAAAACATGGTCCAGCCAAACCAAAAGTGGCTAAAATCCGAACTCAGGAAGTGCGAACCTGGCTGATGTTGAGAGATGAGGGTGTCGCGTTTTAGTCAGAGGGTCCATCACTTTCGGAGAAAAGACCCCCCTGTTGCAACCCCCCCTTTCCAAGAACGGGGGGGGGGTCCACTGACTAATGTTTCTGTTGCGCCCAAATTTACAACCCCAAGCGACAAAAACATGAAACGGGTACCTAAAGGCTCCTCCTTGAAAGACATGGGTTGCCCAAAAGATTTCGGGTCATGACCTTGAAAAGCTTGGTTGACGTTGGAAGGGGACAAACAAAATAAAATAGCAGTCAAGTGGATTTGGATTTCAACCACGCCACAAGAAGCAAAAATGATTCAACTGTTTCCCAAGAACCATGAAGTATTCTGGAACTAAGAGGGTCTTTGGACCTCGAGTCTCCGGACCTGACCCTCAAAACTTGGGAATACGTCATTGAAAGGCTCAGGAGGCTCCCAGAAAGGCTCAGGAGGCTCCCAGAAAGGCTCCGAACTTCGAACCGGACGGGGGCGGCTTGCGAGACACCAACCAAGGTGTGTTCGTTGAGTCGGTCCCATTGAGCTGCTTTGGGGCTCCAGATCCGAACACAGCCCCGAAACGAAAAAGAAACAAAAGAGACATACTGAACAAGACTAGGTCCTCCAGTAGAGAGGTTAGAATTTGGGAACCCACTTTTTTCTGTACTCTAATGGTTCCAATAAGGGTACCCGATTTTTATCTGAGTCTATGTTAGTAGGGGAACCTTCCCCAAAAAAGGGTAAAAGGGCACTACTGGGGGACTTAGAAGATAAACCACCACTGTGAGAACATCAGATACTATCAACCACACATTATCTCATCACAGTCTTCGGGAATTTGGGGGTACCTGCAGTTGAAGCCTTCCGACCCTTATCAAAGATGGGGCTATGACCCTGAAATCTTTCGGGTAATTACCATTCAATTCGGGTATGGGTCGAAATTTCACCACCACGGTACCGCAGACTTTAGTCCAAGTTTCCATTTACCAGAGAATTCCATTTTGGGGACCTAGTTTTGGCCCACAACCATTCTCAGTTGTCCAAAGGACCCAGAAATACACGGTGATCACGATTTGCAACCTACTAAAAGCGGCCCAAATGGTGAAAACTTGCTGGTGCTCAGTAGGGAATGTGGGAACGACCCCTATAAGCCATCCCTTGCGGTATCCTTTAAGGGGACGCCTGGGTTCCTTCCCACATTCCCTACTGAGAACCAGCAAGCAAAAGTCGGCTTTGGGAGAGCATCGGGAGAGCATCTAGGTCTTCCAGTAGCGAGGTTAGAACAAGGGTACCAACTTGTTTCTGTAGTCTATTTTAGTAGGGGAACCGAATCTCCCAACCAAAAAAAGAGTGAGAAAGGGCACCAATTGCTGGGGGGAGGCATTTTAATCACCGAGCGTCTGTTTGTTCAGCACCGACTCCATTGCTTCCTGCTGCCCTGGCCGAAAGCTTTCATGCCCGAAGACCTGGCGTTTTTTTTCGCCGAGTCGGGTGACATGACCTGAACGAAAGACCACTCCCATTTGATTGTTTCTTCAGACTTCTTATTTAGGGAACCACTAAGAATAGTGTCCTTGTTATTGTAGGGACCCCCCCCTCCCAAAAAAAGAAGAAGTTGTTGTTGTCCTTTTGGTTTCCCTTGAAAATCTCAAACAAGGGGCATCCCCCCCGGCAAAAAAGAAAAACAACGAAAACATGCGAGATTTCCCCCAACCTCTGCAAGCTATGGGGTGAATAGGCCTAGATAGGCTCGAATTCGGGGTGGTTTAGGCCAGAGATTGGGTTCCGCGAGCTTATTTCCATTCGGGTTTCCCTTAAAAACCACGCAAAAGGAAGAGCCTCAAAACAAAGACACGCCCATTTGCGTTTTTCCGTGCCTTTTTTTGTTGAGCGTCGTATGGGACCCAAAAAGGCCCGAGATGAGGTCCAAAACCCTCCGGAGTTTCGGTTCGACCACTTCAATGGAGGGTGGCCTTGTCAGTGGCTATTAGGCCCTGCTCGGATTGGGGGGCCGCTCTTGCGCAGCAGGAGCCGTGCTCAACATGAGAGAAGTGGTTGTCCGAAAGGTACACCCTATACACTCAATACCCACTGTCTGTGGTCATTTTAAACCTTTTGTGGATGTCTATGGCAAATGCCTCCTGTTTTAGTCAGGGGTTGGGTTAACCAGCACATGAACAGAACCGAAGCAAACACTAAATCACATGCTGACATCGGCCGAGTGGATCCCGATCGGCGTTTCGCCCATATAGAGGTAACCCTTCGCTATGTCCCCTTTTTGGCTTTCTATATTGGGGGGTTCCCTTATTTTCCCATACAGGTACCTGGAGTAGACAATTGGTCCATGACTCCATTATTTTGTGTAATGACCAACCATTTTTTAAGGGCTATGGAGACTCCAGGTAAATGGATCCACTGGGTAAGATATGTCCTAAAATAAATCTCCAAGTTTAAAGGTCTAAAAGTCAACGCATGGCAGAGACCCCCCAGAAAAACGGCCAGGGGATGTTTGTCCCGGCCCTTGGATGTTCGTTGCCAACGTGAGGCAAGTAGGTTGCATCCATGTCTAAAGCATTGCAAAAACCGACTTTGCAACTTGGTCGAACATCAAGTGAAAACGCTCTCCAATGAAGAACCCGGACCCCTCAGGGGCCCTTGAAAACAACCCATCTTGACGGCCGAAAAATCATCGGGAGCCTTAGGGAGGTTGGGTTCCCCGCTAGACCCCGCCTTCTGCAGAACCTCCGCGAGGCCCGTCGTCGGCTCCTGCTCGTCACCTGCCCACGTACCACAGTACTCTGTATCTGGGTCATGCAGTAGAGAGGTTAGAATAAGGGTACCCGGTTCTTTTTTTGTAGTCTATTTTAGTAGGGGAACCGAATCTCCCAACCAAAAAAGGGGTGAGAGGTCGGGCACCACTTGCTGGGTGACCTAGTCTCGGTTGCTTTTTGCACCCCTGCTAAAAGTGAATAACTTTGAGTGGTTTAATACGAAAAACCCATCAAAGTTGGCAAAAAGTCATTCAGTCCTAACATCCGTTGGCAAAATCCAACAAAGTAGTGATGCTTACCACCAAACCAGTCCAGCCCCCGAAAACGTAAGTCACAACCTTGGGGGCGTGAGACTACCTGGCTGCTCTGCCATGGGAAACCCCTCCATCACTACTCCAAACACCCTCTTTCATAGGTGTCCTTTTAGGTTGGAAATAGATGGGTTTCCCTGGTAGATGATTCAACCACAAGGTAAACCAGGTCCAGCGCCATATGTGTATATCAAAACAACCAAAAAGGACACCTATGCCCTCTTTGTTTAGGGTATTTTTTTTTTAAACCTGGGCTTCCAGGAGAAATACTTCCTTTTTCAGTACAGGGTCGCTTAAAGCAAGGGTACAGGAAATAGGGCCAAAACCAAATTTCCTTCTGGTTGGCCACGGGCCTCTTGCAACAAAACAACTCTTGCCAAAAAACATCACGCGAACCCAGGGCCCTCCATAAGTTCAACAGAAAGGGATACCTGAGCGGTGCTACCCTGTGCCTCCAATTGCCACTATAGTAGGTAACCAGGTTGGCTGCCTCTAGGTCTAAATGCTGGGGACACCCCTGGTTACCTACTATAGTGGCTTGCCTGGAAGCACCGGGATATATATATATATATTATGTTCAAAATGGCGGGTTGGGAAGCCTAAGCTCCAATCCGTACGTATAGGTAAGCCACTACCTGGAGTCTCCACGACCTTTTAACAATGGGTCAATGACCCCAAAATTTTTCGGTGACGACCAACATGTTTTTAAGGGTCATGGAGACTCCAGGCACCAAGGGCACCGGTTCCTTGCGCAACCAATATCCTTCCTGATTCAACTCTTACTGTCACTGCGTGCTGAAGAGCCAAGGGATCCGCACCGAGCGCGGCTAGATGACACAAACTTCCCATGGCTCCCTTTTGTCCCGTTGTGACATTAAAAACGGGAACCCCCAAACATGGGCGGTTTCCATTTGGCTCTCCATAACAACAACAAAGGAATTACGCAACAAGAAACAACACACATACACATTGTCACATGGGCTTGTCTTTTTGAGGGTACCGCTTTGTAGTGGTACTAAACAGGCTGCTCTTTTTTGAGGGCAGCGCTTTGTTGTGCTAAAGGGAAACCACAGGCAGCAACGGTCTGGAGTTGTGACCCTTGGCATCGGCAGCTTGTTTCAAGGAGCTCTTCCCACGGCAAGTGATAGGTCGCGGTGTTGCCGCGAGCTGCCACGCGGTGTCGCTGCATGAAAGCATCCTCGTCAAGTACACGCTCGCCGCGCAACTTCTTCTCTAAGCTGAAGCACATCATGGTGGTTAAGCAAGGACTCGCACATATGAGCTCCGTGAACGTATCCTCCAGCTCGTATATCTCCCGTGGCGCGTACAAGATCTTCAAGTCGTTGCTTAGTCTTCCATTTGCTTGAGCCCCCTGAAAAAAAAAAAAAACAAAACACGAATCCAGTTATGATAGATTCCGCTTAAAACCAAAAGGGGAAAATAAAACATATCATTAAGCAAATGGAAGTAGTGCTTCCGCAGGGCGGCGCTTTGCGCTTGTCACTGCCCCGCATGAGATGACCGGAGTTCCGCGAGCGTTTTAGCACTCGCACCGCTTGTCTTCCGGACAACGAGCGAGCGACAAAAAGCGGAAAACCACATTTTGTGTTGCGGGGGGGTCCCTAAAAACAAGACATACCCGGATGGTTCTATCCTTTTGGCAAGGCACTTGGTACGGGGTTGGTGATGGTTATAACCAACTTATCGTGAGTCCCAGGTTCATTGGTCCCTACAATTAAACTTATAGCCCGAAAGAATGGCAAGGACTCCAGGGAACTGGACCCCACTTCTGTGATACAACAAGGGCTTGCCTAACCAAGACGAAGACCCCATATAAAGGGGGAGATTCCCTGGTACAGAAGTGGGAATAAACCCCTTGATTCCACATCCCTGGCAAGGACCAATTTTGATGACAATCCTAGGTAAAGAACGGTGCTTGCATTGAGCCCCATTGTTTTCATGTTGGTTTATACCCTCCCACCGACGAACATGGAAGTGCACAGACCCCTGTAAAAATCAACGACATGGAACGACTACGTTCCTTTTGGAGTTCGGGGCTTTGTGCACTTCCATGTTGGTGGGTTCAACACCCATTAAAAGAATGGTTGACTCAATTTTGATGAGGACAATCCTTATAGGTAAATAATGGTGGTTACATTCACCCCCATTGTTTTCATGTTGGCAACTGAACCCAGGAGTAGAGTTGGACATGCTACCATGTCCTTATAGCCCTCTGTAAAGGCAAGAAAGACTGAACCCCAGGGATAGTACGAGACACGCCATTGAATCCACAAACTTACGCCTGCTTCTAGGTCTGGCGGCCGCGCATCGGCAACTTCGTCCCCCTCCTGTGGGGACAAAACCCGACCCAATACCCGACCTTTTTCTAGTTGGTATCGTGTCAACCCTCTACAGTACCAACAAACAGAGATATTCGTACCATAGAAAACCAGGTGTTCTATGAAAATACTCTGTAAAAAAGAGGGTAGTTGGGTTCGGGTACGCAAAACACACACATTGTCCAACCTGGAAATTGCTTTAAGTGGATAATTCGAATTTCTTACGTATTCAGATTCTGACCACAAACAAATTCGGCCCAAGCCCCGGAAATACCATGTCTGGAACCTGAAGCAACCATGTGCAAGTGGTTGCCGAAACTCCATCTTCTGGCAGGTCTACTCATCTAGGTCCTCCAGATTTGAGAGGTTAGAATAAGGGTACCCGATTTTTGTCCTGCAGTCTATTTTAGTGGGTTAACTCTCCCAAAAAAGGGTAAAAGAGCACTACTGGGGGACCCAGCCATAGGAAATGGTTGTTTGGGAAACCACCCATTTGCAAATGATTGTTTCAGATTCTACACAACCCCAGGGTACACCACACATGATATGGGCATGGGTCAAAATTAGACCATGGGACCACAGTTGTTAGTCCTGGTTACCCTATGTTTGACCCACACCCATACTGTGGATGGGCAAAATCTGTTCGGACCACTTTGAAACCATGGATGAAACCAATGCTTGTTGGTATTTACCATCCTTGCAGGGTTTCTTAGGTGCTGAGAAATGAAATAATTTCGTCCATCCACAGTATGTTGGGTAACAACCAACCCACTCGAGGTCAAAGCCCGAAAATTGTGCTCGCCGTCAAAGATTCTGGCGGGAACCGCCACAGGAAACTCCTGGACTCAACCCTAGCGGTCGATTCCCCTACTCTGATGGACACCCAAAACGGCAGAAGGGCGAACCGTAGTTCAGATCTCCAAGACGGTCAGATCTACTTCATGTTTAGTCGACCTTGACATTTCACATGTTGTTTTGAGGAGACCCCAGTGGGGAACCCATCTGAATCTAACAGCCAAGAGAGAAGGGGCCAGGGGAATCAAGGGGCCCACAAGACATCTAAGCAGATCCAATCTGGGCTTTCCCCAAAAGACCACAGATGTCACAAACACACTGGAGAAGAAGACTCATAGAGCATAAAGCTACAAGGGCAGATCTCAATGTTCGGGACAAACCGAGGAAAAAGACACGATCCCAGGGCATATGTGCAAGACAAGTAGACATATGGGCGCATATGGATGTGTTTGTTTTAGGGTACCCGTGTGTGGCTGATTTAAAGGGAGAACAAAAGGGAACCGCTTCTTTGTGCGGTTCGTATCCTGGGCTGTCCGTTTTCAGATCCCCTGCTAACAGTAAGTTTAACTTGTGGCTTAAGTGCAAGTTACCCAACCCACGAAAAAGAACTAAACAGCTAACTTGAACCGGACGATTCGCCGGAGAAAAAAACAACTCAGTGGTGGGGGATTTCTGAGGAAACCCGTGGGAAAAAAACCCGCCCCTAGCTCCATGTGGTTCCCCTAGCTCCAGAGATGCAGAACCGAAATCACATATCCTGAAGGGTCGCCAGCAGCTCTGGTGTCATAGCTGAGGAGAAGCTCCTTAGCGGTCAATTCGATGCGATGAGCTGCTTCCATTGGCTTCTTCGTCCGCGCAAAAAAAAAAAAACACAAATATGTTCATTTGAGACCAACAATAGAACATATAAAAACCTAGGTCCTCCAGTAGAGAGGTCAGCATAAGGGTACCAACTTTCTTCGGTAGTCTATTTTAGTAGAGGACCCTCCCCAAAAAAGTGTAAAAGGGCACTACTGCGGGACCTGGGAACATATTCATTTCGAGAAATGGAAGGACTCAGCCAAGCATCTAAATGTCCAGTTGTGATGAATTCCCTTTAAAACCAAGAGGGGAACATAAACATACGTGAATTTCAGCAAATGGAAGGATTCAGCTATTGTCTGTTGTCGCTGACCCAGTGCTTCCAGGCAAGCCTGTATAGTGGGTAAACCTTCGGAATTGTTACCTCTAGGTGTTTCATGATGGTTTCCCGTGGTTACCTACTGGAGTGAATAATCGGAAGCCGAGGGGGAGTCACAATCAACACCAATCGGTATCAGAATGGTCGATTTCAACACCATGTAAAGAATCTAAAGGGCGGCCACACCTTCACTTACCCGGGCTTTGCTTGGGGCTCACTTGTATACAGTGTTCGGGTCTGGGCCTCACGGTGATGAGACTGGCATTTCCAATGGAACTCTGCAAAACACGAGTCTCAGATGCACAGTGGATTTCCATGGGAAAAAAGGGCATCCGTTTTTTGGTTGGCTGAGTTTAAAGGGGAACCCTTACCCAAAAAAGAAAACACAATTGGCACCACTGGGCAACAGAGGAGTCATCAGGGTTCCTTTGAAGGACCATCTCCAGGGAGCCTTGACAACCACAGAAAAACAAAGCTAAAACACAGTCAAGCCATATCTAGTGAACCTGCCTGCCATCATGAAACTCTTGTTTTTCTTCCTTGAACTGGAGTTTTTTCCCCCTCTAAATGGGATTGCCCAACAGATTTCGGAGTCACCTCCATTTTGGGTCAGAAGGAGACTCCGGGCCCCCCCCAAATCCATTAGGGTCCAAAGCTCCAAACAAGAACACATGCGGATATCATACTAGTGCTATGGACATCAACATAGTGGCTCTCCTTTGGTTTCCCTTCAACCCAACCCCACAAACAGTACCTTTCGCCACAAAAAACAAATAACCCATAGTGAACTTCGACATGCATCATGTCATGGAATCGTTTCCCTTTGACGCCATACTGTTTTCCCTCTCCTTTGGTTTCCCATTTATGAGGGGATCACCACATCGATCTGGGGGTTGTCTCGAAATAGGATTCGGGGGTCCCTTAACTGGGTGGTTGCCAGTTGGCTGCCCTTTCAATCCAAAACGGGTACCTGCCAAAGACAGAGACCCCAAATCAAAAGGCTTTGTTACGGGCTCGATCACAGGTGTCCTTTTCAACAAATGAAGGGGAGTCCCTGGTAAATGATATACCCACACGAACCCAAAAAGCCACCTTTGGACTTGAGCAGCCGCATTTCTTTCCAGTTGCGGATGTCTTTTCTCGGTGGCTTTCTGCTCTGCTAACAGTTTAACTTTTAGTGGGTTTCATACGGAAAACCCCATTAGTTGGCAACAAGTTAAAGTCCTACTTACCCCTTAAAACTCCAAGCCCTGGGGAAGTGAATCTTTTACAGACATATAGCCCATGCTACCCAAAAAGTTGAAAAGTTGTGTTTTTAAGAGGTAAGCCTAACATCCACGCAAAATGCACCATTTTTTTCATGCAGAGCCAGTCGCATGGGCTCGTTCTTGGTCTTGATCTTCAGCAAGGAGCTCCTGGACAGCGCGGCGATCTGCTGATGCTGGTGCCGCTGCTGCCGGTCCTGACCGAGAAACGGGTCAAAGCTCCAGGGCTTGATTCCGGTTCCATACACCAATGTTTCAACTGTTTTGTTCCTGAGACCACTGTTCAAGGAGCATGGATAAGTTCTAGGAGTCAATTCCCCATTCTTTTCAGCAATCGTTCTTCTCAAAAACCAGCCATTTCCCCATCGGGTTTTGGGTGGTTTTCTAGAGAGACGGAAAGACGGATCCCTGGAAAGAATGGGGAAGTTACCCCTAGAAAAATGGTCTGAGATATATGATAATTTTGGAGGAGATTCGAGAAGAGACTGAGCATCCCACAAAACAAAAAGGAATTTAGATAGATTTTAGAGACCGAAACCAACCAAACAACTGACAATCAAAGCCTGGTATGAGATTGGTCTGCCAAGTTTGGAAGCGGCAAAGAAACCGGGCTTTCACAATGGAGTGTTCACCGGTTTTCCACTAAGGGAACCAAATCATTTTGTAAACCAAGGTACGGATCTTAAGGATTGCCAAGTTCCACCCCGCCGAATCATTTACAGGGTCACAAAGCAGGGCCACTTCAATGACTTTTACCGGTTGGATGAGAGGATCCCCTTGTAAATGTGGTTTTCGGATGCATCCTGTCCTCCAATGGAAGCTGACGATCGGGTGTTGGAAGAAATATCTCCTCTTTGGGTGTTCAGGAACGGTTCACTCGGAGCAACACGTAGTAGGTAACCAGGCAAGCCACTACACAGTCTTACCCTGCAAAACCAGGGTTCTGTTAAATTGTTCTTAAACGAAGACAGGGTATTTGCAACTTACGCGGGTCGGGGTGGGGTGGGGTGGGTTGGGGCTGGGGTGGGGCGGTTTCTTGGATCTACGCGGAACCGATCGACCCCTCTTTATCCGCGTCTGTGGTCGTCCGGACGCCCGTCCTGGCGCCGCGTCACTGGCGCCCCGGTGATCTCCTCGGGGCCGTTGCTGTACTTCCGCTTGAGCCTGCGAAGTCATCACATGGGTTGAAGAGCCAACGAGCCATCATGCTGACCCCCATACTGTTTATGAATGTGGGAGTTTTCCTGTTTCGAGTGTGGGTTCAAACACTTTTGGATAGAACACCTCCCCCATAATCGTAGGTGTCCTTTTAGGGCAGATAGATGGCCCTGCTAGATTATTAAACCACCAGGTAAACCAGGGCCACCAAAACAACCAAAAAGGACACCTATGGCCATACTCTTGAACAGGGGTCTATTGATCCGGGGACATCACCCTCTGAGGAAGCGATCCGGGTCTGGGACCCTTCCGATCGAGTGGATTGGCCAGAAAAGCAACCCGACTTCTTGCAAAAGCCACGAAAATGGTCTTCCCCGAAAGTATAACTGGGTCCTCCAGTGGAGAGGTTCGAATAAGGGTATCCATTTTTTTCTGTAGTCTATTTTAGTAGGGGACCCCTCCCCCCCCAAAAAAATGGTAAAAGGGCACAACTGGGGGACCTAGATAAAGTCCATCACTAACCTGGTCTTCCCCGAAAGTAAGTCCATGAACTCAGGAAGTGAGGGGTCCAGAAACCACCAAAGGCCCCCAGCCACAACCCAGCAAAAGTTCTTGGAGCCTTCTTGGAAGGAGCTCAAAGGGTGTTGAGATATTCCCCAGAGTTACGCGGTTCAAGCCCACAAAATAATACAATTTGAGCCACGGTCAAAATGCGCCGATCCTGAACATACAACATTTAGGGCGACGTGTCCCCCGGTGTCTTTGGTTTGGGAAATTGAGATCATGCGCTAGCGAACTGCAGGGAATTGAAGCATTGCTGCAGGGCTGTTTTGGAAGCAGTTGGATGTTGCTCGAAAAATGGAACCCAAAATGGAACTCATGGATTCTGGAAAAAGTGACTGCAACCTGTGGTCCCCTGGCGCGAAAATTTTGAGCCGCACCCAATTCCCAAACACCAAATGTCCTCTAGACTTCTTCTTGTTGCCTCAAGCAGCGCTTCCACCTCCCCATTGCCGCCCAGCATAGCGGAAACGCCAAACATCTGACAAGACCAACTTGGATGTTCATCCTATTCACTATGTACCTTGAGCCTCCACGTCCCCAAGTAGGTTGTAACCCGTGCTGAATCAACCACTACGTGTCCCACCTGCAATGGGTTCGAAACCCCAGGATGAACCCCGCCTCCCGTCTTTCCCGTACATCTGGTTCAACTTCTTCGAGCTCTGCTTGCCGCCCTTGCCTCGACAGGGACAAATGGGTGGGTCAAAATGGCGGACTACTCCAAAAAGGTGTCCCTTTAAGAGGCCACCCGAAAAGGGTGCTCTCAAAAGCACACAAACAAACACAAACACAAACACACACACACACAAACACACACACACACAAACACACAGAATCACAAACAAATAGATACACAAACAAACAAACAAACAAACAAACAAACAAGCAAACAAACAAGCAAACAAACAAACACACAAACAAACAAACACAAAAACAAACAAACACACTCCCACACACACAAACACACTATATATATATACACACACTCGCACACACACACAAGCAAACACACACAAACACAAAGATGCACATGTATATGTATATATATATATATATGTGTGTTCCAGTCATTCGAGAGATGACGTGGCATGCTTCACTGGGCACATCCAGACCAAATACAGAGAAAGCGGCTGGACAAAGACGCACCGGGAATCAATCATGTGGGTGCGTGCTGTGATTGTTCAGGGAACCCCCTCCCCCTTTATATTGGTTTTGTGAGGCAACTAAAGGATAACAAGCACTTTGAGGGGGTCCAACCTGACACACACCCATGTTGAGCCCTGATTCATAAACCCCTCCTTTCAGGTTGCAGACTGGCCTTGCCCCCCACTGCCAGCCAATACTACTTTAAAGGGTCGTAAAAGAGTTGAATCCACGTGGACGCGGCTAGCAAAACATAAAGTCTAAACTCTAAAGGTACAGCTCTTGCAGTTGAAATCGGCGCTGAATTTCACCCTCAACCTGCTCTTGCAGCTCATAGTCAAGGACGAAGACTTTACCTTTCAACGACCATTTCCACTCGAGGGTGGGTTTCGCCCGTTTGTGCACCCGCGTTCCCGGGGGCTTGGGCCAACCATTTGTTCTGGGCGAAAACATGTGCACTGGATTAGAAAAACAAGGGTTTTCTCCATGAGCTTCCTGTACGACAGGGGTATTTTTATTGTGTTCCATCTTAATTTCTGAGCCCTTGACTTGGATCTTGGAGCCCTCCTTCCTTGGTCCTCCAGTAGAGAGGTTAGAATAAGGGTACCCTTTTTAGTAGTCTATTCTAGTAGGGGAACCCTCCCCCAAAAAGTTGGTAAAAGGGCACTACTGGGGGACCTAGTGTTGCTCAGGGTCGGCCCAGGGTCGTTTGGATCAGACCCATTCTGTTTTGAAGGGGTTGTGGTTCTTGAAACCCCTCCAAAGAGGAGCAGGTCACTGGGTCAACAAAGTGCGCCTTTTTTTGGTATGCAAACACGTTCCTGAAAACTGGATCGGAGCCTCTTCGCAGCTTAAGATACATCAAGGATCCCAAGGCTCCCTTCCAACCACCAGCCTAACTCATCAAAGGGATATCCGCACCTACGGCGAGGCGACACACCCCCGCCACCTGTCAAAAAGAGAACCGAAGCCGTTCCGGGGTCCGGTAAAAAGAAAAAACACGGACACGCAACCATCTCTGGCCCAAGGGGCGACGAGATCGAGGGAATGGGACAAACAGTTCTTAAACGGTCAAAGAAGCATCTCCATTTGATTCAGTCCCTTGGAAAAAACAACTAGTGATAGATTTTCCCTTTTGAGACAACACAGGGGAATTCGACATATTCTTCAGTGGAAGAAAGTCGCACACTTGGGAAAGGACACGTTCATGGCACTCCTCGCCCCGGTCCGGGCCCGAGGGAGGCGTCCCAGCGGCTGGCGGAGGTATTCTTTCGGCGCCGCAGGTCTTGGCGCTGGAAGTTGGCGCCATAGGGCATCTGGCGAAATTCAAACCCGGCGGGTCGACCCCCATGGGCGTTTTCGCGCCCGGCGAGAAAGAAAAAGAAAGGGGGGGACAAACATTTCAAGAACATGTCTTCCAGTAGGCATAGGTTCCCTTTTAAAGCCAACAGAGAATCAAACATCGTCTTCAGCAATTGGATGGTCAAGCTACCTGGTAAGATATAATGAACCATGGTTAGAAGCGATACTCGCCTCAGTTACACCCATAACCATGGCCATGAAAACTACTAAGTTGGTTTTTTGCAACCAAGTAGGGCTGGCTATCCCTTAGCTTGCCGTTTCGGTGGTTGGCCTGCATCCGAGGTTCAGCTCTCCCTGACTTCCCCTTTGGTGGCCCGGTGGGCTCGGGATTTCGGATTGGGGTTCCCCAAACCACACCGAGAGCGGTTGATTCAAAGCCAGGGCTTGATTCCCTCTGCCCAAAGGGACTGGAGATGAAAAAAACAAAAAAAACTCGCAAATTGTTGCGAAACTTCGCCTAAATATATGGATGAACTATGGAAATCCAAAAGGTCCAATGGACGGCTTTGGACCACTGATTTCCCAATGTTTTTCTATCCGCCGCCGCTCTTTTCGTGGAAAAGAAAAAACGGATCCGGTTTTTCCCTGGGTCTGTCAAAGAATGGTTGGAAGGTATGCGCCAAAAACGTGCTAAATGGAGTGTTCTCCAAACAGGAGCGTCACTCCCAGATGGCGTGCGACATCCAACTTTTGGGTGGAGGGGAACCCTATGTTTTCCCCGCACAGAACATGGAAATGGGGGTCCATTTCCTCAAGGGCTTCCTTTAGTTTCGCCTCCAGCGCCAACTCAAGAGTTTAAAAGGGGTCCGTTAAGTTAAGAAACCTCCAGGCACTAGGAGCGGGGTGGACGCTTGACACTGCTAAATTGGCCCTATCCAGCAAAAACGAGCACGAATGTCGTCTGGGAATTGCTCAAATGTTCGGCAAGTGACACCTTGGATTTGTCCCTCACTTACCCCGAGGTCAACTCCTTTGAAAGGACTTGATAAGTTATCCTCCCGACCCATAGTTCGCTAGCGCCCAGGGGAAATCAACATAATATGTTATTGAAGGCCCTAACTTCCTGAGTGCACTGGAAAAAAAAAACTCCAAGCTTTCTATATACCACTAAACTATGGTCCAGCCCCAGAAAGCTTGAAGTCCAGGCACTCAGGAAGTGAGGCTCCCTTACCACCAGCTCCCTTTCTAGGTCCTCCAGTCGAGAGGTTAAAATCAAGAAACCCGATTTTCTTCTGTAGTCGATTTTAGTAGGGGGTTCCCCTCCCAACCAAAAAAAGAAACGGTGAGAGGTCGGGCACCAATTGTCGGGGGACCTATAGCTTACCACCAGCTCCCTTACCACCAGCTCCGCTACTACTCGAATAAAGGGAAAAAAGACAACAAAAAAGAAAACAAAAAAGAAGAAAACACAAAAAAGAAGAAAACAATAGGAAAACACAAAAAAGAAGAACACACAAAAAAGAAGAAAACACAAAAGAAGAAAACACAAAAGAAGAAAACACAACAGAAAAAAAAAGAAGAAAACACAAAATAAGAAAACACAAAAGAAGAAAACACAAAAGAAGAAAACACAGAAGAAGAAACACAAAAGAAGAAAACACAAAAGAAGAAAACACACAAGAAGAAAACACAAAAGAAGAAAACACAAAAGAAGACAACACAAAAGAAGAACACACAAAAGAAGAACACACAAAAGAAGAAGACACAAAAGTTGAAAACAAAAAAGACGAACACACAAAAAAGACGAACACACAAAAGAAGAAAACACAAAAGAAGAAAACACAAAAGAAGAAAACACAAAAGAAGAAAACACAGAATAAGAAAACACAAAAGAAGAAAGCACACAAGAAGAAAACACAAAAGAAGAAAACACAAAAGAAGAAAACACAAAAGAAGAAAACACAAAAGAAGAAAACACAAAAGAAGAAAACACAAAAGAAGAAAACATAAAAGAAGAAAACACAACAGAAGAAAACACAAAAGAATAAAGCACACAAGAAGAAAACACAAAAGAAGAAAACACAAAAGAAGAAAACACAAAAGAAGAAAACACAAAAGAAGAAAACACAAAAGAAGAAAACACAAAAGAAGAAAACACAAAAGAAGAAAACACAAAAGAAGAAAACACAAAAGAAGAAAACACAAAAGAAGAAAACATAAAAGAAGAAAACACAACAGAAGAAAACACAAAAGAATAAAGCACACAAGAAGAAAACACAAAAGAAGAAAACACAAAAGAAGAAAACACAAAAGAAGAAAACACAAAAGAAGAAAGCACACAAGAAGAAAACACAAAAGAAGAAAACACAAAAGAAGAAAACACAAAAGAAGAAAACACAAAAGAAGAAAGCACACAAGAAGAAAACACAAAAGAAGAAAACATAACAGAAGAAGACACAAAAGAAGAAAACACAACAGAAGAAAACACAAAAGAAGAAAGCACACAAGAATAAAGCACACAAGAAGAAAACACAAAAGAAGAAAACATAAAAGAAGAAGACACAAAAGAAGAAAACACAAAAGAAGAAAACACAACAGAATAAAGCACACAAGAAGAAAACACAAAAGAAGAAAACATAAAAGAAGAAGACACAAAAGAAGAAAACACAAAATAAGAACACATAAAAGAAGAAGACACAAAAGAAGAAAACACAACAGAAGAAAACATAAAAGAAGAAGACACAAAAGAAGAAAACACAACAGAAGAAAACACAAAAGAATAAAGCACACAAGAAGAAAACACAAAAGAAGAAAACATAAAAGAAGAATACACAAAAGAAGAAAACACAACAGAAGAAAACACAAAATAATAAAACAACAACAAAAAAACGCAGCCCGCCTGCACCGCCGGCGCCTCTGTGCTTTCGGCCTCAGGCGCCTTGCGGCTTCCCCCGCGGCCGCCCCGTCTCGCGTTCGCCCGCGCCATGAGGGGCAAGCCGCGATCTTCCAAGGGATGAGCCAAAATGGCGAATGGAGCGTCTGGGCGGCGGCACGTTTGATATGCTGAAGAAGATCTTCAGAGTCACATTGAGCCAGAAAATTGGGGATCTTGGTAGCTTCACTGGGCTCAGATCCCCCGCTAAAGGTGAATAACTTTTAGCGGGTTAAATACGGAAACCAAAGCACTAAACCCTAAACAGCTAAAAAGCTAAGGGGATGGCAGGGAGCCACCAAGTTCATCTATGGGTGTGTCTAACATAGGCGACCTCAAAAGGGTATCCTCCAACAAAAAGATATGAATATGAAGAGGCAGCATCTCATGACACGACACATGTGTGTTTCATGATAAGATGAATTGCTTCAATCGTGCCCCGCAACCCCATTATTCAACACATGTTTACTCGTTTAGTAGTTGATGTTAAAGGCATTTACACCTCCAGCAAGTGGGAATAGCTTTTATTTCTAGCGCTGGAGGTCTGGGGTGAACAGGCAGTTTGGTGTATGGGTCTAACAGTTCCCCTCTAAGCATATGAAGGAGGACAGGAGGTGTCTCTTCAAGATGATGACAGTGTTCCAAAAGCCTTCTGGACTCTTCCATACTGGGAAAAAGGGATACCCCTATGTGAGAGTCATCAGTGTCACCCAGGGTCTTCAGTTGAGCTAGGAGTATTCAGCCCTCCCAAACATTCAGTAGATGTCAACCATGGAGGTTTTGTGGCATGCAGGTCGGTGGCTCAAAGCGTTGCCCTCGAATTTTATCGGATTCCAAATGATTCCAAGATCCTTTCCAAATCCCGAACGGGAACTCCCGCAAGGATTGTGCTCCTTTGTGAGGGTACCTATTTTGGAATGGGTAAAACGGAAACCAAAGAGGAACCAAACGATTTTGAGGATCACACAAGACACGTACCCCCTGCCCACAACTCTTGCTACGTCCCGACCTGACTTCAGGACTCTCGATCCTGAAACCAACTTGCAGGACTTGGTCATAATATGGCTGTGGCTCAAATAAATGTACCAAAATGGCACCTTGGCAAATGGAACCAAAGACTAAAACCCGCGGCTTAGCTCTTTAATTTTCAGCCACATATTATTTGTTTGACCCCTGAAAGCATTTTGTTGGTTTTGTCGGCCAGGGGCACCACCCTGAGTGAACAAGTGGAAAATGGCGAAGGGTGACCATAGGACGGGGCTGAACTCGGATCCACTGGGTTAGGAATCCTCAGAATTCGAACCAACTGCAACTCTTTTTTTCAGAGGAACGACCCAGTCCCAGACCAAAATCCCTTGGTGCCCTATATTTGGGGGATTTGAGGAATCTGCAATCTACGAAGCCCCTTGAAAAGCCAACACCATTTGGGGTCCTTGGACCCTCTGGGAGTAGCATCCAACACCCCAGAAGGGGCCCCAATTGGGGCTTGGGAGGATTGGGAGGCGCTGGCAAGAGCTCGATCCACTTCGGGCCCAAAAAAACGCCTGTCCTGTCGGCGCTTAGGTGTTCAACCTGCTTAGTTCATCCCTTCCCCCCATTATTACTAGGTTTTCCAGTAATAGGGAAGCCTTCCCCAAACAAGGGTAAAAGGGCACCTCGCTGGGGGACCTAGATTACGTGCCCCCGCCCATACCGCCCCATAAATAAACGTAGCGGATTGAGTAGGTTTGCACCTTGGCTACAAGTATAGCAGGCGTAGTGCTCTTATCACCATGGCTGCGGGCTGACCACCCACGCAACGACGCAACGCCCTCAGCCAGGCATCTCCAAATGCGTCTGCTCGATGGAGAGGATCGCGACGCGCTTCTTTAGCCTGCTGAGTCACACTCAAAACCGATTCGGTATTAAAATGGGCCCAGGACCATGTTTCAAGAATTTTCAGACGGCGGACTTCCGCCGCCATGTCTGCCTTGGGATTGTCCCCTAACCTCCAGCAGGTTTTGAGCAAGTGACTCAACTGAAACAACGGCTTCCAGTTCAGGGAGCTCTTCACGGCAAAAAACGCCCAGTCCAGCTGCATCACTTTTGACCATTTGTTGGTGAAACATGGTCAGTTTGTTGGTGACCATGGATATCCACTGCACATCAGTTGGTGAAACGCCCAATGTTCGGCACAAAGCAGTAGCTGTGGTTAGGTGAGCCAGCCTTTTGGTGGGTGTTGATTTGAGGGCAGCGCCCCCTCCCCCACAGAGGTTGACAAACGGCCACCACTGGCAACCGCAATCTGGCAAACGCCCACGCCCAGGGTACACCATGGTACACCAAAGCTATGTTCAGATTCTGTTTCATGTTTCGACCGCCCTATGTGACATATAGGACTAGAACCTCCAGTAGAGAGGGTACCAACATTTTCTCTTTCTGTAGTATACTTTTGTTAGTAGGGGAACCCTCCCCAAAAAATGTTGGTAAAAGGGCACTACTGGGAGACCTAGAAAAGAAACCCAAAGCTCGGCTGATACCTGAGTGGGGGGTTGGAACATCCCCTTCCAAAGAGATTTTTATTTGACCCAAGTCCTAGGGCCAAGCAAGTCCATCCCAATAAAGGTTACGGGAACCTTCCCGTTGACCTTTGCCACCAGCTCCCTTCTACCGAAAACGGATTGAAACCATCTACAAATGGCAGTGGGCGGGGGGAGGGGGTTGATGCGAGGGGGGGGGAGGGGGTCCTCTTGAACAAAACCGCCTTCGCTTGTCCAGGATCTGGGACAACAGCGGCCTTGAACAAAAAAAAGCAGCCCAAAGGGAGGTCAGAGGGTGCTGGGAACGTTTCAATAAAACCAGGGGAGGTGGTTTCATGGTTGAAACACAAGCATGGTTCTGGAACATGGAACAACCAAGCAAGTTTTGAAGGGCCCAAACATGGGGTGTGCCCGTGGAGAAAGTATGGGTCTTCCAATTGAAAGTTTTGGCCAATGGCAAAGGACCGTTTGGTTGTGTAAAGGGCTTGGGGAAAAGCGACAGGCAAAGCCCGCCACAACTATCCGCTTGCATTTTTCGCCCCCCGGACAAAAAACATAGATATATCTCCAGGAGTGATCGATTCCAACTCAAACCAACAAGGGCAAACATACCCATTGCAGGCGAGCCACAACACACTAGGTAACAAGGGGTTGCCTCGTGGAATGCACACCTTGCTTTTCATTGTAGTGGAACTGGAAGCACTGGGATAGCGTGATTAGTGCGACCATCACCCGAACGAATACGTCCCGTGAAAAACTGTGAAAACATATTTCCACTGCCCAACCCTTGGTATGGTAGCAAAGCAAAACACACACCTGGACCAGGTACCCCTTACCATAGATGACTTCCCCTTGTGTTTTGAACCTGAAAGCACTGGGACAAACAACTTCTGTGTCTGAGCAAACTTCTTTTCCCAGAAGAAATGGGGGACTGGATTACCCTTCCACCCTTTTCACACGGAATCTGACGTTTGGGACCAACAGGTCCCTTGAAAAACGGAACATGGTCCAAACCAGGCCCCCCCCCCCCGACGTCGAAGGGCTCCGGCTGTGAATGAGAAACTCTCAGACGAACTCCGCCAGCGGCGCCTCATGTTCTCGAACTCCATGTCAGTGAGCCTCGTGGAGGGTGTGGGAGGGAATTGGGAGTGGGGAGTGGGTGGGGGGGGAGGGGAATTGGGTGTGGGGAGTGGGGGGGGGAATTGGGTGTGGGAAAGGGAATTGGGAATTGGGAGTGGGGAGGGGGGAAGGGGGAACTGGGTGGGAGTGGAGCCTTTAGGATGGAAATGTCCAAAAAAGGGCTTCAGTTGTTCATATCCGTGTCCCTGCCCCGGTGGATACACCGCTGCGGGGAGTTATATTTAATCAACATCTGGCATCAGAAATTGTCTATCCCAAACCCATGGTAAAGAACTTAAAGAACGGCTGCGCCTTATGGCTAACATCTACCCCTGTGTTTCTTGCGGGTGAGGCAACCAACCGAGATGGATCCTGAAACTTTCTTGGAATTGGACGGCTCTTGGAATTCCCTTGCCCAAGGATTTCCGAGCCTCCGCAAAAGCCTCCGGCTCAATCAGCTTCCCTCAAAACGTGCTTGGAGCCCGGCGGCTTGAAGCTTTTCTTCAAATTAAGCCACAAGAATGCAACTCCCAAGCAATCACCCACAAAACCACCAATCCAAACGACCAATCACATGGGTTACCAAACTCGAGGGGTTGGAGTTGAACAAAACCACCAAAACAACAAGTGCTGCTGTTAAGGCGGCCGTCTGGGCGGCCTCTTGGTCAGGGCGGCCGTCTGCTTCTTCACCTGAAACCAATGGCAGCAGGCAGTTGAACCTTGAAGATCCGGGATTTCAAGGGGGGAATAAACATATGGTCCCTTTTTCGCACACCGAAGTCGCCGCCCTGTCAAGGGAATCCCGAAAAGCGCTCCCTGGAGTCTCCATAACCCTTAAAAAATGGTGTCATTACCCAAAATAATCGGATCATTGACCCATTTTCAAAGGGTCATGGAGACTCCCGGTCCATGTCTTTTTGACAACTCACCCACATGAGTTGAATGGCTTCTGACAAGAAACATGCCGCCAAGTACCCGGAACGGAATGCCAGCGTTTTCCCCGCGCCGATTCAAAGAGCGGTCCTGAGTCCGAGCTCCAAAAATATAAAACAAATCCAGTAGTGATAAATTCCTTTTTCAACCAACATGGGAAATTAACAAAATAGTCTTAAGCAAATGGAAGTACATCCGAGTGGCCAAAGTGTTGAAGTTGTTGCTTTTGGTGTTCCTTTCAACCACCTCACCATGAACTGAGGTAGAACCAACTAGAAGATGCCGAATCATTCCTGCTAGGTCCTCCAGTAGAGAGGATAGAATAAGGGTACCAACTTGTTTCGGTAGTCTACTTTAGTAAGGGAACACCCAAAAACAGACGATGGTTGGTTTTGCTCACGCTGGCTTCCTCGGCACAGACTGGCAGCCCCCAGCCCCTTGATTTTTTTGGCATCAGGCGGAATCCTCAGAGAAAGAGACGTTGAGTCAGGCCAGAACATGGA